CACATGAAATGGAAGGAGTATATACTTATTTTTTTCGGTTAGATTAAAATATCTTTCGCATTCAAATTTTATTCAATATTGTTCTGTTAAGGTTCTTTAATTTTTAGTTGACATATTCCTTTGGTTTCTATCATTCGAAGTCAAAGCTGTTTTTTCACGTTACAAATGCATGTGTGAGCCTATTTATATTTGATAAATACATTTAACAACGACATTCTAGTGAGATAGCTCATGTCACATCCACCTAAGATCAATCTATTAATTCGAAAAGTCTGGTTATAGGATGTATGTTATCACCAATTAAATATGATTAATTACCAATTACTGTAATTCTTCTTTTTTTTTTTATTTTTTCGGTGGAGACGAGATATAAAAGATCTTAACGTGACATAATCATCTTTAAGATTAATAGATTGTACGTATTATTTTTGATCTTTTTTTTTTATCATGGAACTCTTAGGCCATCTCCAACGCAAGCTCACTCCAGTATCATAAGTGGGTCCCTGCGTGTTTTTTGGATTTAAAAATTAAAAACAAAGTCCAAATTCAATAATACCGTATGAGTAGAGTGAGTCTGATGAACCCGTATGACTAGGGTATCACTGGACATGTGGCATTTTCTTATAGGCTGGTGTGTGAAGGTAAAAAAATTCCTGAAACAGAGCATCTCTTTCGTTTTTAAAAAATTTTGCTTTATTTTCTTCCTCATTTAGCCATTTTTCCGATTGTGGTTGCGATTTGACACCGTGAAAAAGCGTTCGGATGTGGTTGGAGTTTTTTCTGCATGGCGGTTTGCTTACAAGGAAGTACGGCAAGGAGATCGAGCTCTGCAAATTTCGCCGTCATTTAATTTTTAATTTCTTCGTCCAGGATTTTGTAAACGGAAGCGATCTTATTTGAGTGTTTCCATGAGATGAGAAACGGAGGTAAATGGGGAGATTGAGAACAGCTTTTCTGGATCTCTCCCATTGTTTTGTCTGTGTTTCTGAGGAGATTATCGTTCTAGACGGTGCGATTCGCTTTCGATTCTCCGTCTCCGTTAACCGAAACTCCATCGATTACGGCGAATCTCACGGCGGCGATGTGGTGAATTCATTGTCTTTTGATTTCGTTATGATGATACAAATCCAGTAATGTATGAATCAAATTCGTTGAATTTTTGAAGTTGATCTTGATTTTCTGATAGGTAGAGCAAACATGGATTCATTGTAGAAAAGAATTGAAAGATTGTCTTCTCTATACCCCTCTTGATTTTTGAAGCTGATTTTGATTTCTGCTATTGAATTTGATTGCTTTCGTTTTGACTTTTGTTCCAGTTCTACCTGATTTTGTTGGATTTGATTTGGTTTTCTTGCTGGTGAGTTGTGAAATGTGAATTATCGGAGATTTGTTTTGCAATTTTCTGTGTGTGGCTCCTCGAGAATAGAATGGACTCAAGTATGACTCAATATGAAATTGTTTTCAATTTACCAGCTGCTTTCTCAATTTTGAAATATGGAATATGATTTTGGTAGAATGGAATATCAAACGCTTGGAGGATGTTCTTCAAGCATCTGCATCTATCTCTACTAAGTATCTGCTTCATTAAGTTTTCATCTTGATTTAAGTCTGATCCTAGCTGCCATTTTTTATTGTGGTTTTGTGTTTGTGAGGACATATGCAGGGTTTACTGTCATTACACTTCTTGTCATTTGCATTTTTTATTGTGGTTTTCATCTAGTGTTTGTCGCTGAATCTCTGTTTTATTGCTCTCTGTAATCGAACAGTTTCTGATATGGGTTTTGTTTTGAGTTTTGCGGGAGGATGATATACTAAGGAAGCAAATCAGTGTACATGGAACTAAAATGTTATTATTTTATTTTGTTGATATTCAAAAACAGGTTTAGGGTTAGAGGTCATATTTTGGTTGGAGATCACTACTGTTCCAAAAAACAAAAAAACTAATATAAAATGCCTATAAACCCCAACCTATCATGGTTGGAGATGCCTTTAGTTTGTCTTATGCCAAAGATATAAATTAAAAGCTTACCTTCAACCATAAAGGAAATTAAAAGCTTACCATAGACTGGAGACCAATACGCATTAATATTACTAGGTGAATACCTGCACATAACGTGCGGTTTTTTTTTTTCAATTATTTCCAATTTATATATTTTATATTTTTCTAATAAAAACATAATCATCAATTGCTATATTATTATAAATCAATCAATTTTAAATATAATATTATTAAAAATTAAAAGTTTTATACCAAAAAACCATCAATATGTTTAATTAATTATAACATAAATTCTTGTTTAATATTTACATAAATATTGTTTGAGAATTAATTAATAAAAAAGTTTTCATATTATTAACAAATCAAAAGTTTTATACAAAAAAAAATCATCAATATTTTTAATTAATTATAACATAAATTCTTGTTTAATATTGACATAAATGTTAATTAAGAATCAATTAATAAAAAAAACTTTTCGTTTTTTTTGAGTGGTTAAAAACTTAATATTAAAATTTATTAATTAATTTTTTTTAAAATTGTAACTTTATATTAAAAATTAACACATGTCATCTCTATAAAAACTTTAAATTGCTGAGGTGTCACTCATATGGAGAGAGTTGGTCATCTTTTATATATAAGATTTAGGTCTTTCTTCTATCACTGAGTTTCTTTAACACTCATCATGTTTTGTTAGTGTCGTTTTGTTACTAGTGAGTAGTGGAGAAAGATTTTTGTTTTGTTATCAAAAAAAGGAAGAAAAAAAAACTCTTAAAATGTCAGTTGATCTCGGTTATAAAACATTATCCTGCTACATAATCATTGTAGCTTTAATAAAAGTCTTTTAGCATTGAATCGTTTTGCCCACTTTGTTATTGTCAACTAATTATATTAACACACAATCTTGATATATTTTTTTTTAGGGAGAAAAAAAGATCTCGAAAGAAAATTAAAGATAAGATGAATGGTTCGGTAGAGAGAAAAGACCACAGGAGGAAACTACGACCACGACATGAAACACACAAAAAAATAAAAATAAAAAAGTAGTTCAATTTCATTTTCGCTTTGGTCCACTTTTTTATTTTATTTAATTGTAACAAAAAATAAATAAATATAAGTAGTCCTTTAAGCTTTCCGTGTTAGCTCAAGACACGAAGCCTCCCCACTAAATAAAAATAAAAATAATTGTTTATTTATGGGAAAAGACGCGCGTGGCTCCCACTACCGTCAACTTTGCCCACGTGGAACCAGGCCATATGAACGGCGTTTAGTAAAAAAAAAAAGTGTTTCCTCTCTCTCTCTCACTCTCTTTCTCTCTCTAGAAAGTCAAAAAAAGGAGAAGACAGCCAAACACTGCCTTGTCACATCTCAAAACTTTCTCTCTCTAACTTTGTTCCGAGTAAGTCCATTTTTCCATGTGCCCACTGTGTCTTCTCTCCCTACACGCCACCATCTCCACCACCACCTTCTCCTCCTCCTCCGACGATTTCCAATTCCCAATTTGCAAACCCTAGAATTAGGGTTTTTTTCTTCTACTTCCTTAGGATCCTACTCCTCCCGATCTTTTTCGATTTTAGATCTTCTGATTTTGGGATCCTCGGTTTCGAATTTTTGATTTTCTGCTTTCTTTTTGAGCTGGAAAAATCGACTTTGGCTTCCCGAAGAAGCTAAAGTCCGTTGAACGGAATCGATGCCGGAAATCGATCTCATGAGAGTCGATCAATGCGTTTCCGATGTGAAATTCGATGGTGATTCGCCTAACGAGGCTCCAGGTTTCGGTTGTTGTGGTTCGATAGATGTGGAGGTGAAGCTAGAACAAGAGCCGGATTGTTCGACGAAAAGCGTCGGGCGCTCTGCTAGACGCGGTCGTCCGCCGAGAACACTGGGGAAAGCTACTTCGTCTCCGGTTTCACCCATGGCGCAGTCGAAGAAGAGGAGAGAAGACGAGGATGTTTGTTTTGTTTGCTTTGATGGTGGTAGTCTCGTCCTCTGCGATCGTAGGTGAGTGAGTTTCGAGCTTGGAGAAGTAAAACTCCAGCTAAATTTAGCTTTACTAGATTCGTTCTTCCGAAAATAGAAAATTTTTCTACTTCTGATTTAATTTGGGGGCTTTCTTAATGTGTCAGGGGATGTCCAAAGGCGTATCACCCAGCTTGTGTCAAGCGTACTGAAGCATTCTTTAGATCAAGAGCAAAATGGAATTGTGGTAAGTTGTTTCGATTCTCTGTGCTAATGCAGTTTAATACATTACCAAGTTTGAAGAAATTAGCTGGGTCATAGATTCTTTAATGACGATGATGATGGTTTTTCAGGTTGGCACATATGTACTGCTTGTCAAAAGGATTCTTTCTACATGTGCTATACTTGTCCATATTCAGTTTGCAAGAGATGCGTTAGAAGCTCAGAGTATGTAGTTGTACGAGAAAACAAAGGATTCTGTGGAATTTGCATGAAGACTATAATGCTTATTGAGAATGCAGCTGAAGCTAATAAAGAAAAGGTACGAGAATATGTCAGCATTTTTTTTTTTTTGCTCACAAACTGGAAAGCAATTTGTGGAAGTACAAACTAGAACCTTTTGGCCTTTTTCTTGCTGTGTACTTTTGTTTTGCAATGTGCTAGCAAAATGATTCATTTTGTTTTACATGTACATTTTCCAGGTTCAGGTTGATTTCGACGATCAAGGTAGCTGGGAGTATCTTTTTAAGATTTACTGGGTTTCCCTTAAAGAAAAGCTATCTTTATCGTTAGATGATCTTACCAAGGCGAGAAATCCATGGAAATCTTCTGCTTCAACTGTTTCTAAGAGAAGAGCGACTAGTCGGCTTCATTCAAAGGATGATGGCAATTTCCCTGGGGTTATGAAACCAGCAAGTCGTGCTAAAGTAAGGAAAATGGAAGCTGTTTCTGCGAGTAACTTGGCTTCTGTTTTGGATTCAAACAGTTCTTTGAGTGACAGACTTCCACCATTGACTAGTGCTGCTGCGTGGGCAACAAATGAACTCTTGGAATTTGTGAGGTATATGAAAAACGGTGATATTTCCGTCTTATCAAAGTATGATGTCCAAACACTTGTCCTAGAGCATGTGAGACGAAATAATCTACAAATCGCTCCTCAGAGTTCAGAAATAATGTGTGACCTGAGGCTTACAAGATTGTTTGGAAAAGAGCGAGTGGATCACTTGGAAATGTTAAAGCTTCTTGATTCTCACTTCCTCGATCAAGAAAGGTCTCCGGTTACAGTTACCTCAGCCACAGGAGTCACTGAAACTATGTCTTTCCAGGTCGATGCGAGCAGAAGCTGCGATAGGTTGAATACATTTGAACAACATCAAAGAGGAGAGTCACAGCAGTCAGACGTGCACAATATTCAGGTTAGACCTTCCAGTTCTGATAGCAGAAACCATGCCACTGTAAAGCCTGAATGTGCCGCTCTGTCCAATAAGCCAGTTGATGGTTTGGATGCGAATATGGTATGGTTATATGGAGATCCAGATGGGAAGATTCATGGACCATTTTCCTTATTGAACCTGCAACAATGGAATTCAAGTGGTCATTTCCCGCCTGAGCTGAGAATATGGAGGTTAGGTGAACAGCAAAATAGCTCCATACTTTTGACCGACGCATTAAATGGGCAGTTCCATAAAACAGGGTCACTTCAGAATCATTCTATCTCGAAGCAGGAAGAGACGGCTACTATAGCTAGCGATCAAAACAGGAGTGTGGATGTTGCTAAACTAGAGAGCAGAGTACTTGACTTTAGCCCCAACTCTGTGTCTACTGACCAGAGTGTTATTTCCAGCAGTAACAGCGTCATCACAAGGAGCTCTGATGCGAGCAACAAAAGTGGAAACAATTTTAGCCACAACGTGCCATTGGATTTCACTCTTTCTAATGAAAGGGAGACTGTGGGTTCTGTCTCTCTCTGGAACAAAATGAAAGTTGATAGTCCTTTGCCTGGACAAAGCCCGATAAGCTGTTCCCTTTCGCTTGCTACATTTCCAAGAAACTCAAACTCAAACTGCTCCCTGCCGCAACAGGAAAGATGGGATGCTAGTCAAACAGGGGCAGATGGTAACGCAGTAACAAACGCTTGCAATCAAAACGATATTGGCCTAAGCGATGCGGCTGAGAAACAAGTCACAGCTACTGTTCAGTCATGTGGACAAAACTGGAATGCTGCTACTCCAAGCAGTGCTTCAAACGTGTGGGAACCTAACCCCGGTTTGGTTTCTTTCACAGACAATCAAGAAATCGACTTTCTAGACCTCTTTAGCCCGACCTTCAAATTCAACTTTGCGTCCACTACCACGGATTGGCAACCAATTGTAGCTGGACCTGACGAATGTGACGAGTCAGTATCAGATCTTTTGGCGGAAGTTGAAGCCATGGAGTCCCAAAAACGTCTTCCCTCTCCAACTTCAACGTTCCGTGGTCCTGGAGAGTTAATCCGACACTCCATTAACGGTAGCTTCAGTCCAGCAGAAGGGCATAGCCCAGCACTTGATGTAAGCAAAGGCGACTCCATGAGCTCAACAAACGACCTGCAAATGCATTCACGAACTAACAACACCGTGGATTTTTAGCCGTGGGGGTCGATGATCATGTATTGGTTTAATTAGAGAGACATATTCTGGGCACAGCTCACCATAGATGTCGGAGATCGTCTGGTCGATGGTGGACTATGCCCTCTCTTCTCTTTTCTTTTTGCAGGATTATTACAGAACATAAATAAGTGGCGAATTACCATCATCCATCAATTATCAGAAAGAAAGAAAAAGAAAGAGTGGTGCATATGAAGAAAGAATATGATCAAATGTTTCTTCGTGATATTTTTGGCTGCACCCATTGTTTTCGGATATTTAGGTTTTGTACGTTGTCCTGTGTTAAGATTTGCACAGACCCAACCTCTGTATTTTTACATTGTTTGTTTGTACTTAGGTAAGTATAAAAATGGAAGAATTTGTTGCCAAATGAATGTAATCAAAACATTGTAGGGATCATCATCTGTTCTATATAATTATATGATAGTGTAACGTTTCATTCTCTTGTTATGAATGTTTTCATCACATCTCTTTTATTCGTTTGTTTGAATTTGTCTCTTACTTTTGTTGACAAGTGTAGGCTCAAGTTTCTTTTATTCAAAACGGCTTCGTTTATTTTCATCATCAATACAGATTTTGGGAATGAGACGAACTCGCTCTATTCGATTGATCGTTTCCGGATTTGGAAACTTTTTCTTCTTCTTTCGACTTCGGGTTTTGTTGTTCGATTGAATTTACATTTCTGATTTGATGGTGGAAGCTACGTCGAATTTGACGCCGTCGCAGAGATACGCGGCAAGCGCATTGTTTGCGATCGCGCTTAACCAAGCGCAGATCAGCCAGACTAAGCCACTGGGGATCCCCTCCACCGATCACGGCGGAGACGACGGAGAGTCGATCAGAAGCAGCGGCGGCGGTGATCCTATCTCCGAGGACGCGGATCTCTGGGTCCACGAGGTTTCTGGTTTACTCCGACCCGTTTTCAGGTGAATTCCCTCTAAACCGTCACCGTTATTTCGGATTCTGGAATTCGTTTTATATGATCACGACGAGATTATCTGGAATTGTTCATGTTTCTTGAGTTAGGGATATGTTCATATGCGTCTGTGTGACTGTGTGTAATTTTGGTTTCAGATGTCTTCAGATTGATTCCTCAGTTTGGCATGGACTCGAGGAAATAGCTGCTTCTTCTCTGGCTAAGGATCACATCGGTGCGGTATGACTAACTTCCCTCTGTATTAGTATGAATCCGATGTGTTGATGGGTTCTTCTTCTTCATTGTCTGTTAGTTTTTTGGGATTATTGTAGCTCATCAAGTTACTCTCAGAAGATGCGAGTGATGATAATGGTTGTAGTGAAATGGTGGAGAAAGAAACCGCCTTAGCTAAAGGTGCTGAAGCTATGGTTCAAAGCATTCAGCGAGGTTCTGTATCTGTTGAAGCTAAGAAGGAGAAACATGTGGAATATGAAAACGAATGCCGTGAGAAGTATTCCGTTCCCGAGGCACCGTCTCTTGCTGAGGATAAGGAAACAGAGAGTCACGGGGAGGATGTAGTTAAAGATGGAGGCCACAATCCTAGGATTGTTGAAGATGAGAAACATGTTGAGGAAGTAGCATTGCTTAGCCATGAGAGGAAGATAAGTGTTCTTTATGAACTGCTTTCTGCTTGCTTAGCAGATAAACATGAGGAGAACGAGAAATGTACACGGAGTAGGAAAGGCTATGATGCCCGTCACCATGTTGCTCTGCGGTTACTTGCGACTTGGTTTGACATTCGATGGATTAAAATGGTATGTTTGCTTCCTTCTGTCTAAATTAAGCCAAATTTTGTAAATTTTTATGCTACCACATAGCATAACAACCTCATAGTTTTATAGTAGCCATCTTGCTGGGGATTCAGGATCTGATGACATTGGCATGCATGAGAAGTTTTAAGAAGCTCAAATTACAATCATCGGCTCCCTCTTTTTGTGCATTTGGATTATGCAGAAAATCTATTTTCATATTGCGTACTTTTTAGGAAGGAGTTGAGACAATGGCTGCATGCTCTGCCATGGCATTGCAAAAGTCAATTGAAAATAAGGAAGAAGAGTCTCTGTCACCAAATAGTGAATGGGATAACTGGAAACGTGGAGGCATTGTTGGAGCGGCTGCTTTAACAGGGGGAACTTTGATGGCCATCACTGGTGGTACGGTGTCATCTAACTGTTGATATCTCCCTTCCTACGTTTTGGAAATTAAGAGTTTGGATTTGGAAAATGCCAACTCTCAACCTGTTTTGATTTACATATTCTATGAACCAGGATTGGCTGCTCCAGCAATTGCTGCAGGGTTTGGTGCATTGGCACCAACTCTGGGGACGCTAGTTCCGGTTATTGGAGCCAGTGGGTTTGCTGCAGCTGCTAGTGCTGCCGGAACGGTAACTGGATCTGTTGCTGTTGCAGCATCTTTTGGAGGTAAAGAAAGAATAGACCAGATTTAAATAAAAAAGTGGATTAAAGTGATGATCATGTTGAGTTCTTTGGGAAGAAAGGACCAGTTTTATCTTTAGCTTTGTTTCTAAATGTGTTCATGATCAGCTGCTGGAGCTGGGCTCGCTGGGACTAAGATGGCAAGGAGAACTGGGGACATTGAAGAGTTTGAGTTTAAAGCTATCGGAGAAGATCATAATCAAGGAGTGAGTTTTGGTTTCCTTTGTGCTGCTAGATCACTGCAACGATAGTTTTGTGTTGGGTCAAATAAACCATTTCCGTGCTTTGTTTTGAAATCCCTTTGCCCTGCATTATCTGATTTTGAGGATGACGTGTTTTTTCTTTATTGATGTAATAGCGATTAGCAGTGGAGATATTAGTTGCTGGCTTTGTTTTAAAGGAAGAAGACTTTGTAAAGCCCTGGGAAGGGTTAACTAGCAACTTGGAAAGGTATGAACATGAGTTGGTCTTGTGTACATTTTTATGGCTTGTACTACTATTTCGTAAGATTCATATGTTTGCCATAATTTCTTCTTAGGTACACGGTGCAATGGGAATCCAAGAACATTATAGCAGTGAGCACTGCAATTCAGGATTGGCTTACTTCAAGTAATATAGAGTCTCATTCCTTACGCGTAACCATGTAATCTATCTGTTTGTTACGAAGTAACACCGACATGGAATTGTTGCAGGAGTTGCTATGGAGTTGATGAGACAAGGTGCAATGCACACCGTACTGAACTCACTTTTAGCAGCAATGGCATGGCCGGCAACAATCTTAGTAGCTGCTGATTTCATAGATAGTAAATGGAGTATCGCCATTGACAGGTAAAATGAAAATATATTGTGACTGAAATGCCAAGTATGATACAACTATTACTGCAACTATAAGTTCTTGGCCATTATTATTTCAGGTCAGACAAAGCAGGGAGACTTCTTGCTGAAGCGCTTCGAAAAGGTTTACAAGGAAATAGGTAGTCTGTTTCATATAAACAATTATTGGATAAATTACATCAGATTTCTATCTGATGAAGTTATATAATTATAATATTACGTCAGCGTGTTGATTTTTTACATTTTCTGTGGAAAACTTGTGAGGATCTCAGACCTGTGACTCTTGTGGGTTTTTCGCTTGGCGCGCGTGTCGTCTTCAAGTGCCTCCAGGCTCTGGCCGAGACAGAGAAAAACGGTATATCTCTTCTCTCATACCTCTGTTTCTTTAGAAATGATGTTATCTTTTGAATTGAGTCTTGTCTTAACACATTATTCACGGCAGCTGAAATTGTGGAAAGAGTTGTTCTTCTTGGAGCACCAATTTCAATCAAGAACGAGAATTGGCGAGACGTAAGAAAGGTAATAAATCTTCTTGATAAGTTCCCTTACGCATTTTAACTAGAACTGATGTCACAGTCTAGGTAACAAATCCGTCTTTTGGTGTTCTGTTTGATCTTTACGAGTCGTCTTTTGTTGGTTAACAGACGGTGGCTGGAAGATTCATTAACGTTTACGCCACAAATGATTGGACCCTCGGGGTTGCTTTCCGTGCAAGGTACTTATCTTGCTTACATTGCCACTTTGTTCTTTGGTTCCCGTTTCATATTCAAATCCAAACTTTTTCCTTTCTTTAATTTTCGCAGTCTGTTGTCTCAAGGATTAGCTGGAATCCAACCGGTTTGTATCCCGGGGATCGAGGACGTAAGTTCTCTCATTGAACCTTGTGTATGTTTTCATTACGTGTTAAGTGAAATGAAAAACAAAAATAAACAGACTAATCATCTATAATCACATATCTAAAAACCCTAAAATGGCAGGTGGATGTAAGCGATATGGTGGAAGGTCACTCATCTTACCTATGGAAAACTCAGCAAATCCTGGAAAGACTTGAACTCGACAACTCGTACCCTGTTTTTCGAAATACTCTCTAACTTATCCCAACCATTAGGGCCATATCCTATGTTATCCAGATTCAAAGACCAGATCAACACTAACGAGTGTCCGAAGTGGCAAAACGAAACATCACATCCCTTCCTCTCTCATTATCCTCAGGTGCGTATACATTATAAAAACTTTCACTCACATTCTTCACCATTTTACATAATAATATCCCTCATTCTGAAACCCTATACGATCTAAACTTCTAATTTTTAAATCGTTGGGGAAACTCACTGGACAAGATAAAGGGGTTTTTTGTTTGTTTATCTGTTTGAACTTTCAACGCATCTCTGTAGTTAGTTAAAAAAAAGTTTTTTTGGTCTAATTTCCTCTGACGTCGATCAGTAGGTTTAGTTACCATTTGTGATTACGATATTAATTTAAATTAATTTATTTATATACAGTTACATTTTGAGGAAGAGGGAAACGAAAAACAACGCAAGTCCCAAGTGAAATGAAAACATGATTAACCGGAAAAGGTTCAAAAAAAAAAGAAGAGATATTAACAGGAAAGACAAAACTTATGCACCATTATCCTGCTTCCTGAATAGAACAGGAAAACTCTCTCCATTGTCAGGTCAGGTGCTAACAGGGCAGATGAGGCGCGTGTTAGGCACGGCGATCAAGCGCGTTGCTCTGGGTGCTGTAAGACCCATGACGTCGCTCATGTCGAGCTCACTCGGTTTCATCCCGTTAGGCAACTGCCACGTGTAACAGTGAATGATGTTAGCCACAGCGACCTCCATCGCGTATAGCCCAAGCTGCATTCCCGGGCACGATCTCCGACCCGCCCCGAACGGTATAAACTCGAAGTTAGTCCCCATGAAATCGGGCATACCCGGTTCCATAAACCTCGAAGGCCTAAAGGCTTCCGGGTCAACCCACAGTTTTGGGTCACGCGCGATGGCAAAGGCGTTGATCATCAGGCGCGAGCCTTTGGGCACAGAGAAGCCTTGGAGCTTCGTGTCCTCGACGGCCTCGTGGAGGATGAGTGGGATCGGTGGGTGGAGTCTCATGGTTTCTTTGAGTGTGCATTTTAGGAAAGTTAGTTTCTCGAGGTGCGTCTCATCCACGCGCCGGTCAAGACCCACGACCTCGGCGAGTTCTTGTTGGAGCCGTTTGAGTTCGTTTGGGTTACGTAAGAGCTCCGTCAAAGCCCATTCGATCCCCGATGCCATCGTCTCCGTTCCTCCAAACATAACATCCTTGGGAGTAACAAAGTAAAATTATATATCGAGCTACCATTATAATTATCAAAATTTTTAAGAAACTATAAAGTTCAAAATTCAATATCATTCTACGATGAACTATATCTCTTAAATATACTACATTCAAATTCCATCTCATATTAAATGTATGATTCCCAAATCCTAACACACATATATATATATATATATATATATATTATACATCACTTTCGAAACCAAAAATATATTTCTATATAGAAACAAAACAAAAAAGAAAATATCATTGCTACTGATAATTTTTGAAACTAAGTCATTCCAAGATATAAAACTATCAACTTCAAATTTTTTTGAGTAAATTGGTCGGAATAGGTTTTCAAAATTAAATTTTTGGCGGAAATATCATTATACTCAATTGTTTAGTTATATATTGATGATGTTATCAAGGAAGGAATGATTACTAAGAGAAATCTATAAATAAAAAAGGTTTAACGTTTTGGCTTACCATGACGAGGGCTTTGATATTATCACGTGTGAGTTTCATGGCGTTCTTATTACGATCAGTTGATGAATCCTCGCTTACTAACTTCTCTTCTTCACTATAGAACGCAAGTAGATCATCCACCATATCTGTATCTTCATCAACGTTTACAATCTCTCTCTTCTTCATATGCTCATCGATAACTTCATCTATGAACCCGTCAAGATCGTTACGGGCCTTAACAAGCCTCTTGTTTATCCCTTGCAGATCGAACCAGCCTAGGAACGGTATGAAATCCGCGATGTTGAATGCTCCAAATAGCTTTGAGAACTCTTGCAAGATCCTTATGAACTCGTCTTGTTCCGTCTCGCACGCCGCACCAAACGCCGCTCGGTACGTTATGTTCCGTGTCAATGTGAAAATGAGCTCTCCAACATTTACGGGCTTACCGAGGTTGCTAGACAAAGAACGGACCATATTGTTTACTTCGTCACGGACCGAGGCCCATGACTCGGCCCGTTTCCGGCTAAACACCTTCATGACGCACACTTTCCTCATTTGTCTCCAAAAGGGTCCGTAAGGAGCGAAGGCCATGTCGGCTAGATCGTAGGTTAAGTAGTTTATGGCTATAGTCACGGGCCGGTTCGAGAAGCTGATGTCTTGGACTTGGAGGACTTGTCGGGCCACGTCTGGTGATGTGATGGCAAACACGTGGCGAAATCCCATTCGTAAGTGGAACAAGCCGCCGTACTGATTGGCTAGCTTGGCTAGACCATGGTGTGTGAGTTGGTCCATCATTAGCATGTTGCCGATTATGGGTAAGCCCTTGGGCCCGGGAGGATAAAGCGGTTTAAGCCGTTGTGAGAGAAGGTAGGCCACAACTACAAGAGAGACGGTGATGAGAAGAGCCGTCTTTGTGGGATCTATTACTTGGTTTAGTGTTTGTGATAATAGAGACTCCATTGTTAGTTTGTCACTTAATTTGAGATGATGTGATTATTAAGGCCAATGCTAGCTTTTATAACCATAATTTCGCCCCATATATCGGCTATTTTTTTTTATCATCTACAAAAAAAAAAAAAAAATTATAGAGTGGACTTTTAATATAAATCAACGAGTTGACTTTTGCAAACTGAACTATTTCTGTGTTGGATCATATATACAAAAATAATGCTGCACTAGATTAGGTTTGGAATATTGTTTTGTTGTCATATGTGATAAACAATATACTAGTATTTAACTATTTATCCACGCTTCAAGTTTTGGAAATGTGATTTTTTTTTTTTTGGTTGGGTTTAGTTTCAATTTTCATGTTTTTCACAGTTTTGAAAAATGATTATGTTGTATATGGTGCACGGAGTTATAAAAGAAATCGATCAATCTGCAAAACTAACTTTACCTTTTTGATGTTTTTGCCTTTACGTTACTTTATTACTGATATATTGTTATTTAGCATGTACTATTCATCTCACATGTCAATAACCACCATTAATTTAACTGTTTCCATTTCCCATATAGCTTGGATGATCTTACGACCAAACTGAAAATAAACATTATTTACTTGTGCATTTACGTTAGTTGCTTGATAACGTTTTGAAGGAATGCACCAAACTGAAAATAAATGTTATTTAACGAAGTAGAATCCAATCTCCTCGTCTTTCTGTTCTCTTAATATTATAATCCAACTCATCATTCAAAAAGTGATGGGATAATTAAGAAAAATGAACTCTTTCAACAAAAAAAGATATTTACGAAAAATGAATCAGAGAGGCACACTTAGACTAGTGTAAAAGGCGTGGGTACACATGGAAGTACAAGCTCTATTTATCAACTAGTTAACTTTTTTTTTCATCATTCAACTTATTAATTGTTGGTTGAGTATTATTATATATATAATATATTATATCATGGGCGTATGACCAACTTCCTTGGCATGATTTGGGCCCCCTATCTTCTACGTACGTAAGATAATTTGTTGTTGGTTGACAACACCAAAGGATCTAGTGATCACCTTTACCTATTGATTAACAACATTATTTTCTCTAATATCTGCGTTGGAAAAAATTCGTTGATAAGAAAAAAAAAAACCAGGATTTAAACCCTTTTAGTTTGCTCCAAAATCAAAGGGAAATAACCTTTAGATTTTTTTCGTTCTTCTCACATTTCTTTTTTGGAGTTTGGTTTACTTATAAACATCATTTTGAAATATAAATAAATTGTGATTTTGAACTGCGGGTGAAATTTCTGAAAGAGATTTCATTTTAAAGTGGCATTACCCACATTTTTGTTGTTGAAGGCTATGTTGTTGGTATGTTTTCATCAAATATAATGGTATGAGACAATTGGTACATTAGAATATTGCTAGGATTTCTTTCATCTCCCGCATTCACCTAACACAATGACTATACTATATATGATACCCTTACAAACACACACATTTACTTTTCGCCTTTTTTTTTTTTTAAACATATCTGGCTTTAGCAACAAAAGAACCTTACAAGACATCATACTTCAACCACATAAAATGTACCTGATGAATTTTCTCATGATGGCTCTGCCATCTAGTTAGGGTAGAAGGTGTTGCCGTTTCTGATTTGGTAAACAACAGACAAGCAAAAGTTAGACTTCTTTGTTCATCAATATATCACTGAAAATTTGATTGGAAACAACATCTTAAGCGACTTGTATGTCTCCATCCGCTTCTTCAATGATTGAAGATCACTCCTGTGTTTTGAAGACCCATCAAAAGACTTCTTCGTGAGTAAGAGATTTACAAGATATATCAACTATAGGAATCATGCAATGTGTCCTTCCCAGTAATGTTTTGTAACTTTCTTTATCTTTCAGCAAGATTCAGATTGTTTATCTCCCTTAAATCCTTTGAAAAATTATGGATCTGAAGCAAGGTCGAGTATCTTATCACCTGTAATGATCTCTAACATAGGTCACGGTGCTCAAATTCAAAGAAAGCCTCATTAACAACCAGGTCAGTCGTGACTTGAACCAACAAGCTTCGTGATTCATCAAAGTTCAAAAGAACAAATCTTTCAAGGTCTTTGCCACCATGTTCCAGAACATACATGACATACATTGTTTCCCTTTTATGTTTCTCACTTTTTTTTCTTTGGTATTGAATTTTTCGTTTTCTCCTCTCATCTTATTTCTTTTCAATAAAAATTGATTCAGTTTTTCATCTATCTTTTAAATATAAATACAAAAAGAAAATACTATATACAAAAAGGGGTTATTTTTTTGAGATTATGATCCTAATAATCACATCACAAACTTAATACACAACTGCTAAAAAATAATGAAAAGTTTAGAAATTTTCTTACAGCTGTAATAGAACATAAATATCTCTAGAAAAAAAAACTCGATTAAAAAAGATGACAAGCTATTTTGAGAGATATGTTATGCACAGAAAATGAGCGACTTGAAAAATAAGAGACAATTTCATAAATTAACATTTTCTCTTTTCAAAATCTAAAATATATGTAGATAAGTCCCCGTTTGAAAATAACAAGTGGGATGGATTCCATTAGTTAGAACAGTCGTCAATGACAAGATTCACAACTCATGAATGATCAAAACGTTCATGTTCAACGTAACCAGAAAGATATTGGATGATGGAAGTTTGTTTGTCGAATGTTAACCAGAGATATTGTGTTAAAGAAAATCACATTTATTCGTTTCGTAATCTTTGATTTCCATTGGTACATGAGTTTTAAACTAGAATGTCATTCTCTCCAGATTGAACTTATTCACCCATATATATAAGAAAAGGATATCTATCTGGGATTTTTTATTTCAAGAATTGTTTGAGATTATGATCCTACAAAATTACATGAAAGACTCGAATATTCATCAAAATTGTTGAAAACTCTAGGAACATCTAATCACAAATACAAGTAGAAGTTAACAGAAAGATTATAAACAGTTCCTTGTTTTGTAAAAAAAAGTTATAAACAATCACAAATACTAGGTTTTTCTGTATTTGGCGAAACTGTTATTGTATATCATCTTTTATCTTTTACTGGAAAGTGCGTAAGCCTACTTTCATATATTGATTATCTTTTAGTTGGAGAAGCTGTAATATCACATCATTTATAAATTAACGAGAGGAAAGGAGTTTTTTTTTTTTCCATTATACCCTTTGGTGACAACACTACGAACGACGAAGACAATTGTTATGAAGCAGTACAAAAGTCTTATTACTAAAACGATGCAATTTATTAATGTATATATAAACTACGCATTATTCGATTAAGTTAGTATAATTTTCAAGCGAAAAAAAAATCAAACATTGAAATTTCTATAACGATTGAATTACCGTACTTACGTTAGAGATTTATAGTGATCAGTCATAGTATAATACAATATCGAAGGCAATTCTTTAAAGAGCAAGAGTAAAATATCAAAATAAATTTGGAGTCTCGGTATGAAATGGACTAGTCGACAATAAGAACTTTGGGCGTGAATCAATATTACTGTATTTTTATGGAGCTTCATCTCCTTTTCGTATTCTTTAATTCCCATAAAAACAAAACAAAAAGATGGTAGGTTTAATATGGGTTAAGCATGTTCATGAGGTTGCTCAATTTGATTATTTGGTCTTAATTTTCGTTTAGAGGAGTATAAAAAGGAAGGGAATGGATTGAGGAAAATCAAGATGGAGATATTGGTGAGAATGTCAAGCTTTGTGGTGTTCTTGTTAGTTTCTGGTGCTGTGTTGTTGTTGTTGAGCTCCAGCTCCGTTCACGGGCTGCGATATGGACCCGCGAGGAGATCCTATAATAGTAGTGATCAATCTTCCCTTTTGGTATCTGAAAAAACGTTTGAAAGTGGTATGGTAAGCGGTCATAACAAAGCAAGAAGAGTGCAAGAAGGTAATGAAGAAGAAGGAGGATGCGGAAGCTGCAGAGGAAGAAGAAGAGAAAGAGAAAGGGACTGCGGAGGTTGTAATGATGGAGGAGGAAATTGTGGAGGTTGCAACGGAGGTGGTGGAAGTCCGGGAGATAACGGAAGAGGAGGTCGTGGAGGCAGAAGTGGAGGAGGAGGAGGTGGTGGCGGCGGTGGAGGAAGAAGAGGTAGAGGAGGCAGCGGAAGAGGAAATGGCAAAGGAGATGGAAAAGGTGAAGGAGATCATGGTAGTGGTGGAAATGAAGAATGCAATGACCATAAAAAGAAGGAAAGAGA